TATCATGAAAACTTTTTCTTAGTTCAATTGTTTTGAAACATTTAATTTTCTGAATATTGCTTATTCTTAATTTTTGTTCTAAGATTTATAATGTATCTTTGACTTACAATTTATTTAAAAGACATTGTATATCTTCTAGTATTAAAAACTTTAAAAAGTTAAAAAGCCTCAGTGCCTTGTGGGACAATATGCATAACTTTAGTCACAGAAGAACTCAGTGAAAGAAAGAAATTCTTGGGAAAAAAATCTCTTCTCCATTTGACCAACCACAGCATACAGATTTTCAGGTCAGAATATGGCCCCAGCCTGGCACATGCTGCAAAAATCCCAGTGACTATATACTCTTTCTCCCCATAGCCTGAGCTGACATCATGTGGTTGAGAACCTGAGGGTGAGAGAGGCAACCCATTCTTACACCTACAAGGCCACGAGAGGGTGTCCGTGCTCCAGAGGGCTCTGAGAGGGCTGGATCAAGCATAAGGTCACAAAGAAAACAAGATATGAGACAAAAGGGATGGCAAGGAGGAAAGACCAAAGGCCAAGGAAGAACAATGAGCTCTGGGTCCTGCCACCCATCAGAATGTTACAGAAGAATGAAATCTAGAAGAAAATTTAAGCCAAATAGAAGGGAAACAAACATCTTCATTTCTGTTTGTTGTGCAACCAGATGAAGGTTCATTCTAGAGAACAAGACATGAGAACCAAGACTACAGTACCTGCTTCTGAAGTGTGGCATCCTTTTCCCTCTCCAGCACTTTAGCAAAGAATAAATAAAAACTTTCCTCTATTGGCTGGAAAATTAACCTGGCTACAAGGGACCCAAGATTATTGACTATATCATATACACCTATAAAACAAAAGGGAAAACATAACAATCATATTAGTTTTTCTATTTCAATTTTCACAATACTATTAAAATTTTTCTAATTTAATGTTTATTAAACTTTTAAAAAACATCTTGAGACAACTGAAAGTTTCCACACAACGAAGAAATAATATTCCATGTACCTTTTACCCAGCTTTCTTTTTTTTTTTTCAAAGTTTTATTGATAAACATATAGCAATGAGACAGTTTCATATCAAATCGAAAGTACAGTTTCAACAAATAATACACTGCATATATTCTTCTTAGTGGTTAATTGCTGTACAAGATGCAGACTTGTGA